GAGAAAAGACATTCCTAAAGGTCTCTAAAGAATGTGTTCGGTGCCCGTTTCACTCACCACATAGAGCTCGTTAGAACGATAGGATGAAGCGAGAATCAACTGCTTTATGTCTATCGATTACAATCAGCAAATCACACAAGCACCATACACTTTCTGACAACCGCTGACACCCTAAAATGCACTGAGTACAATTCGGAACCAGAATTTCACAGCATATCTCAAATTGTCCACTGACATTATTGGGTTAAACCCAGTTGTCGAAATCGACTGCCCGTCAAGTGATAATTCTTACATAAAACTTACTCGCGATAAACCAGTACAGGCGACTTGGGGGAATGCAATCAAACTGACGTTGAAGTCTTTTTTCACATTTTTTTAACTCAAGAGGTACAACCAACAGACAGAACGGAGGACGAGTGTACCAGCGCCAATCCGCTGAGCGAACCGAACACCCATGCAGGCCAGGAAAGACGCCACTAATACATAATCATTTCATTACCCATCGGTGGCCAGGAAGCAACAAAGGGGACATGTTCAAACTGTTTATATCTACTGTAATTCGTTCAAAATCCCTTTCTTGAATGAGCGTGGGCTTCGATATACCATGTAAGGCGGTTTCACGCAGCTGAATGCATTGCGTCCGCAAAAATGCCAATTGAAATAATGCAAGAGTCAGAGGCAAAAGGAAACCCATGTCTTGATTGCGGAAGGTGCTTCGTNCGTGGATCGGAAGATTTTATTTTAGTATTGGCGATCGGTTCACCCTCAGGAATATCGACAATAATATGTTTACTGTGAATAGTTATTCTGCAGTGAATGGACTTTCGACCGTCTGGGGAGAACCATGCATGCCGGAAAACTTTATTCCTTAAAAGTCATCTTGGAAATATGCAATACAAACAGCCCAATAGCGCATTTGTTTATCGGAAAGAACTAGACTGACTGCTAGACACACAAGATTCGATAACTGTTATCAGTCCTTATTGTTCGCAATTGGCTGTTCCTGATCACCGTGATCATCTCAAATTTGGGGGCAATAAAGCTCCATTCGAACAGCACTTAACAGATACCCTACGCACCACTAGGAATACCACGTTGTAACGTGGTGTAGCGTGATTTAGTTCTGCAGGTGTAGTAAGCCTAAACGATGGGATGACTTCTTATGTGGTCCAAAGAAACTAGATGGCTTTATCTGTTATGTGAATATTCGTTAATCGTCAACTTGCGCAAGTTCTCATCCCAATAAAAACTGTCACATGGTATGGTGAAGCGAAACAAAAGTATTCCTTACTTGATCTGTTAAAAGCGCTGTGGATATATCGGGATATATCTTGTCTAACACAGGATTTTATTGTCGGCCTTTGACGAAGAGTTGCATGATAATTTCTCTCCAGAAAGGCAACCCAGAGTAGATTGTAAGCGAGAATTTATGGCAGACCCACCCCGAAGAATTTCCACAGCAACCATGTAAGCGAAAATAGCACTGTATTGTCGATTTGGTTTTGTGGATGCAGTGCTTTCGGGAGGGGGAATTTACCGCACTTATGTGAGCGAACTTGAAGCTTTTTGAATTTCAATAGTGTGACACTTGTACACCCACATTTTGATCGATAAATTTTTCATGTCAACACCATGCGTTGGCGTTTTGTGATATTCGCTCTCCCCGTAGTCACCAAGAGAGTTGAAAAATATGTGACCTGCTTGCAAAGTTTTCAGCATTGAGAAATTGAAGCCGCAACACAAGAGGTCGATCGGACTTTCCTTGGGTCCTTTCCAATGAATTCTGCACTCTTGCGTTTGGACATTCCATGGACCAGCTATACGAATTTATTCAAACTGATATCGAGTTCTTCACCTCTTTTAATTTTAAACAGCAATCGAAAAGGAAGAACAGTCAACATACAGAAAGGTGGAAAAATGTTCCTTTGTTGTTCAACCGAAAGATCCGAACGGACCAACAGACCGGGAACAACCTTACAGCAAATCATTCGCTCTGTTGTCCGGGTCTACGAGGCACGAAACTGCATTGCACGGGGAAACGCCCGACTTTTATTGCGGTGTGTGCGAAACATCGTTCAAGAGTAAGCATTATCCGAAGGTAAATATGAAGAGATTTAATATTTCTGGATTTCATAAGCGAGGCAGAACATCCAGCAAACCGGTGCGTGAATCACAGGAAAGAGGAAACCCATGTTCCAAATGCGGTAATTGCTTTGCAAATTGAAGCAATCTGTGTCAACACCAGCGGTGCGTTCATCGGAAGGAAAACCATCGGCAGTGCAAGTAATGTGGGGCGGTATTTGGCCGAAACTGGATTTTGAATCGCCATATGGGAACGAAGCACCAAACGCAAGTTCCACACATTTGTGACCAATGTGGGAATACGTATTCTCGACAGGATTCGCTTAAGGTACATGTAAAAACCATCCACAACAAAGATGCAAATATCACGACTGACTAACCAACACCGGATTGACAAAATGTGACCTACAGTAGAATAAATGCATAGTCAGCAGCACAATATGTGGACTTTTTTCGATCTAACTAGAGTGCTTGCTTCATTCTTTTGGTCGCAAATTAAATCTAAGCAAAATCATGTTTCTATTCTCGCTTGAGGTTTTCAGACAATCCTAAATGGAAGGAATTAAGATCATAGAATACAATTATCTTCTCTTAATCGAAACTCGCGTCCACATTATCGGCAACCGACAAACCGGAATTACTGACCGTCGCATGACCGGGTTTCTATAGCACATATTTTCCCTCAATCTCAAGTCTCGAAACAAACTTTAACAAGAAACCAGTTTCCGGTTTTTTTAACATTTTCAACCACTCAAACAAACGAATGTCGTACAATTCATGAATGTCTTAGTTGCCCATTTCTTGGACACCGGATTGTCTTTCAGCTTAGCTTACAATAAAGTATCTGCTAGCACAACCAAATCCGAACGTAACGGAATTACATGACTACCAATGGCATAAACTTTTCTCGCCTGAGACAGATTTCATTGGTTGTTCTTCACTCGCCCTTGACAGAAGAGTTGCATTCTTGATATCGATTTTGACTGCTTTTTACGAGACAGTGATCAAGACAGCATTTTTTGACTTTTTTCTGGTTTGGCCAAGCGCACCAGGCGATCAAATCGGCTATTCAGATAGGTGTCCACGGTACCAAGAAGGCACAAGCGATTCTGGTCCATAACACTATCCATTTGAGCTGATCTGCTCAAGCACTTTGTTTGTTTGCCTTTACGGTGAATGGACGAGGTTGATCAGAATAAAAACACTCAAGCGGGCGGCGTGGGTAGAAGCCTCCGTCCTGTGTAATAATCCGAGTGTGCNCCGACAAACCGGAATTACTGACCGTCGCATGACCGGGTTTCTATAGCACATATTTTCCCTCAATCTCAAGTCTCGAAACAAACTTTAACAAGAAACCAGTTTCCGGTTTTTTTAACATTTTCAACCACTCAAACGAACGAATTTCGTACAATTCATGAATGTCTTAGTTGCCCATTTCTTGGACACCGGATTGTCTTTCAGCTTAGCTTACAATAAAGTATCTGCTAGCACAACCAAATCCGAACGTAACGGAATTACATGACTACCAATGGCATAAACTTTTCTCGCCTGAGACAGATTTCATTGGTTGTTCTTCACTCGCCCTTGACAGAAGAGTTGCATTCTTGATATCGATTTTGACTGCTTTTTACGAGACAATAATCAGTACAGCACTTTCGTTGAATTTTCTTGTTTGGCCAAGCGCACCAGGCGATCAAATCGGCTATTCAGATAGGCCTACACGGTACTATGAATGCACCAGGCGATTCTCGTCCACAACACTATCCATTTGGGCTGATCTGCTCAAGCACTTTGTTTGTCTACATCTACGGTGAATGGCGAGGTTGATCAGAATAAAAACACTCAAGCGGGCGGCGTCGGTAGAAGCCTCGGTCCTGTGTAATAATCCGCGCGTGCGGGAATCTAGGAGGCAACGTTATGAATACTAGTTGTAGATCGCACTTAGGCCAAGTGAGAGATTAGGATTTTCTGACAAGGAAGTGAAGCATTTTCACGAAGAATCTGTGCTATATCTTATTGTTTGTTTAGTTCTTCGAAATTAGATTCGCCCATACTCAGTCTATGCTCTTGGATTCACCGTAATTTCATGAATTTCTCCACTACTGTGCTAGTGTACTAGGGAAACGGTGANGCACTCGTTCGCTGGAAGTTCTGCCTCGCCTGTGATATCCCAGAAATATGTTGCTTTAGATATCGCTCACTCTTGAACGATATTTCGCACACACCGCAATAAAAATCGGAAGTTCTAGCATGCACTTTTGTTTTGTGCCTCATGGCATCGGACAAACTGAGAATGATTTGCTGCATGTTAAACACTTGTAGGGTTCTTCCTGGTATGACCGTTTGTTCGGATCTTCCGTTCTGGTTGGGCACTTCGCTTCGTACAAACTAGCTGCTTAAAATTGAACGAGGTGAATATTTCGATGCCAGTTTCACTAGACTGTCTTTTAGCGCAGCGCAGTGAAACTGTTATTGGAAGGGATCCTAGGAATGCTCAGTCGAGGCCTTCCGACGTAGGTGCACTTTCTCAACGTGGAAACTTAGGGTGCAATTCACGTCTTTTTCAACCCTGTTGGTAAATATGACGAGAGCGAATATCACAATTTGCGGAGTGGTGCATTCCAGCAACCACCTGATAACTGTCCAAAACACAAAAAACTCTCGGGGAATTCAGTGTGTCTATGTGTGAGAATAAATCTACGGCTTTCGTCATCAAGCCTCTTAAACAACTTTAAAAAAGAGCAAAACTCACGTTCATTCTCTGCCATCACAACATTCGATGTATACATCAGAGTCGAAACTAGTTGAACGGTGCACATTCTCCCGTTGGTCCATTGAGATGTCACAACTGGTGCCCATTTTATAGGTATGTTTACGATGGTGATGGCATATTAATCTGAGTTTATTGACCGCGGTTTTCATGTCAACAGCAACGCAAATAATTTGCTGCAAGGTTGTTCCCGGTCTGGTGGTCCGTTCGGATCTTTTGGTTGGACAACAAAGGAGCATTTGTCCTTTGTTCTGTTTGTTGACTGTTCTTCCTTTTCGATTCCTGTTTAAAATTAAAAGAGGGGAAGAACTCGACATCAGTTTGAATAGAATGCCCAAACGCAAGGGTGCAAATGTCATTGGAAAGGGACCAAGGAAAGTCCAATCGACCTCTTGTGTTG